TCATTAGCTAGAGATAATTAACGTTAACAGAATCTACCCTACATTTTTGTAACTGGATGTACGTATGTATGAATCTAAGTTATCACTCAGCTTTATACACTTTTTCTATGTGTACATCATGTGCATTTCCCCACCTCACAGCATTCTTTATCTTATTAAAGGGCTGTTTAATGTTTCCTTTGTCCACGTGTTCATAACTACTATTTCTCTGTTGTTGGTATTTGGACAGACTCCTCTTTACTGATAATGTAACACTGATTATTTAAAAAAAAATAGATCCTTAAAAATGCAATTGTTGTGTGACTGGGCACACACAATGCTAAAGTTCTTGCTTACTAATATCAAGCAATTAAGCTCACCACTAATGCTGAATGGTTTTCTCAGAATGATTATGCCAATAATCACACCCATTAGCAAAAGCTGTAGCCATCTCACGTGACACACACTCACATTCAGGAATGCCATTCAAAAAATGCTATTTTTATGTACTAAAATACATTATGCCTATCTTTCCCAGAGAACTATAAAGTCCTCGAGAATAAGGCCGTTGTTTGGAGGAGGGCCTGACGCGTAGTAAATGCTGTTTGTTGGCTGCACCAGTGATTCCAAAGATCAGTCTGGACTGAGGGTGCTGATCTTTGCCTCCCCCAGGTCTAATGAGAAAGGCTGTCATATCCAAGGCCTTTGGCTCCTCACTTCCCTGAAGTCCTTTTTTTTTTTTTTTTTTTTGACAGAATGGGAGGATTGAACTCAGGCCCTTGTGCTTGCCAGGGAAGCGCTTATTCCACCAAGCCATCTCCCCCACCCCTCCCTGAAGCCTTCTCCTGTCCCTGTCACAGCTTCTGAAACTTGGCCAAGGATGACAAAACAGTCAGGTTCTTTCCCTTAAACTGAGCAAAGAGACACAGAAATGGATGCATCAGTATTGAAATGATCTTCTTGGCAGAGACAGGGCAGCTACAAACCACAGCAGCTGAGGTCCCTACAGTCACCCTGGCTTCCATATACCTCAGGGCCAGGTGCTCAGTCTACCTGGGACTCCTTGCGTGCTGACTCCTTTCAAGCAGTCCCCTTTACCTAGATGGATGTGTGCTCTGGTTCTGTTCTTGGAGTACAGATGCCTGGTAGCGATGTTCCCTTTGTCATTTCCTCAGATAACAGTCACAGCTTGCAAGAGGGACCAATCAAATGGAAAACCAGCACAGCAAAAACTGAGCAAGATGCAATTTAACAAGGAGAATAAACATACACAGTCTGGAACTTAGATTAAAAATAAGAAGTCTGAATATGGAACAAGTGCTGTTTCCTTCAGAGAAGTCTATCATGGTAAATGTCAGTTTTGTCTGATTTACGATTTACCCTTAAGATGCTAGTCATCAGCATTATTTGCCTCACCGAATGCTCTCTGATGGCTGGGCTCATATTTAATTCTCCTGTGTATCTCCACAGTTGAGCATTATGCCTGGTCTGAGGAAGTATTTAATAAATGGGTGCAAAATAAATGTTAAAAACTAAAGCCTAAGAGAGCAGCAAGCTTCTGTAGGTCTAGTGTTTTCAAAGCCACAGTTTTGTCTTGCTCCTTTTAAAGACGGTAGCTCCACTTGACCCAAGCCTCTGATGCACCCCATCCCCTTCTCTTCATTCCTTTGCTAAATGTCTAGACCAATGCACTCAGTGTGCAAAAGTTCAGTCAGTGGTCTTCTAGTGTCCCAGGCTACTTCTGTTCTTGCCAGTTAGGCTGTATATTTACGAAGAGATTATCTGTTTGCTCCCAAACCTGTTTATGTCAATTGTTCATTCTTGTACTTACGTAATCTAATTAATTATTACGTAAATTAATGAAATACTTGTGCATAAGGAAAGAGCTTCTGTTTCTGTACATTGAGTGTTTTGGAAAAGCTTGGTGAAGATGAGCACATTAAAATTACGGTCAAATTAGGACAAGATGACTGAATGCCTACAGTTGTATGTGTGGAACACGCAGATCTGATTAATGTAACTTTGTGAGTGTGCAAATTCTTACAAATTCTAGAATCTAGAAACTCTAGAGGATCCAATATGGGTATCATTCATGTAAGCAAAGACACAAAGGTATATCTGTATCTATTAATAACTTAAATAGGAAAGCCGTGAAATAGCACCTGCCCTTCTTCTACGTAATGTGCTCTGAGTATCGACCTGTATCCCAAGTGGTTCAATTAAAAAAAAAAATCCGTCACGCCCCACTAATGTGATTTGGTAATTCAGTCTGAAAAGACACTGGCTTAATCCCATTACTTTATTTTGTTAGAGGCACTGAGATTCAGGTGGACTTGAGGGCCCTATTAAGATCGCTCAGCCAGTGAGTCAGAATTACAGTCCTCCTTTCTATAATGTGTTCTGCCTCCTGCGCTACCCAGCAGCCCTTGCTCGAGAAACAACTGACCTAGCACAATTTCCTTTGTGAAAAGTAGAAGGTGGAATGAGGAAGCAGAAAACAAGGACGCACCTGTAGAGGCAAGGAAGAAGTGCTCCTTCTGTCCTGATGCTTCTCCACACAGGGCTAAGGCAAGTATTCACAGGTGTACGTGCTTTATCCCAAACTGAGACACACCAAGTCTCTTGTGCTACAGATGACGTTTGGAGCAGGTGAACCATGTACCCCGGGCAGAACACGGGAGCTTTCTAATTTTAGAATGACTGCAGTTCCACACAGGAACACTCCAGACAATAAAGTTGGGAGAGTTTGCAGTTCTGCAAAGCTTTTGTTAAGAAACGAGTAAGTAGTGGATCCCTTGCTTTTTGGCTGACCCATGTTCTATGGTGTTTCACAAACAAGTAAAATCCTCAAAGACTTTCCTGCAGTCTGATCTGCCCTCTTTCTGTGTATCCCAGCCCAAACTAACCATCTCAACATATTTAAGCCCAAGGCTCTCAGTGAGATCTGCACTACCATCTCCCCAAACGTGCTAGTGATAGGAACATTCTCCATGAATGATAATCCAAATGAATTTTCCTTGTTTTTTCATTACTCTGAAAGTCTCCAGATATTAAATTAAGAAAGCCCTCAAAATACCCTGATTTTAGGTGGACATCATCAGACATAAGCAAGAAGAAGGGGGAGAAGTTCAGAGGTCTAAAGAGCTGCCCCAAATCTGCAGATAACACGAGATAGGAGAGGAAGGCCTAAAGGCGGGCTCCCAGGCACCTGACCAAGGCCTCTACCACACCCTTTTGGTCATTAGAGTGAGTCTCATGAAAATATGAGAACCAGATGGGCACCCTGCAAACTGTGCAACATCTCTGAGGGTTAAGCAAGCAGCCACCCAACAACCTATCTAGGGTGCATTCGGTCCCTTTTAAGGGATATTAAAAAGTCCCTTTGGAAGCCAAGTCATAACTCCTTCTTTGGGAGGGTGTGACAGATGTTCTCAACTGTGGATGCTGCCACCTTCTGCCTGCCTTCGGCTAATGTTTCTATGTTTTATGAATGAATGACCAAGCAGATAAAAATGGTCTATTCCAAGCTCCAGACTACTGGTTTCACTCCTGTAGCAATCTTTTCTAAATCACACGCTAAGGAGTTAGTCAAGTTGCCCAGATCGTTATGATACTCCTGGGTCATCCGGCTGTCTGTCCGCCTGTGAGATGGGCTCCTGGAGGGTGAGGAAGAGAAGGCCCATTTCTTTGTACGATTCTAGTACCTAGAATGCTAGCATCTACATATGAGATAGCACCTAGTTCCAAGAGAATAAAATACAGGTGTTTCTTGGCATCCCTGCAGGACTGTTTTTAGGATCCTCCCTATTTCACATTCAGCTCCAACTAAACACGGCATGGAGGAAGACAGGTGTTTCCTTCTGGGTCACTGTGGATCAGCAAGGGGCTTGGGCACCTTTAAGGTTCAAATACATCGATGATAACAGAGTCAAAGGAGGATGCTGGGGCTACAGCAGCAGTTGTACCCAGCAGGGTGCCAGTGACATTACTATCACCTCTGCTGACTTTGGAAAGAAAAGTAGGGAAGAGCAGAGTGCCAGGGAAACTGTGTGGTTGGTGAGAGAATTTATGAACTCATGGAAACCTTCCCCTTTCTGCAGGGAAACCCCTGAAATTACTGGGGAAAAACTGCAGTAGCAGATGGGAACAGAAGACAGTGAAACACGTCATATCACCAAAGGTGTAGTGAGTGGCCTACTCACACGTGGCTGGGATAAATCAATGCAGTCCACCTAGAAAGCTATTTGGCAGTGTGCACTGAGATTATAAATGCTCTTATTCTAAAAGCTTCCAGGCAGGAAGAGGTGGTATCATAACTTGGGAAACTGGAGGCATTATAAATAGCCCTTAGGGAATGCTTATTTAAACCCCACATGCCCGTTTGGACAGAACAGTGTGAGCAGTTTAAAAGGACTGATTTCAGGACTTTGCAGCAATATGGAAACATGCACAACCTCAACTTTATAACAGTTTCTTCAACAGAACTAATCGTATTAAAACATCAATGCCCAGGAACAGGGCTGCACACAGTAACGAGGGGGTGCAAATGTAATGGGGACAACTCCCCGCAGTGCACTGCTGCCATGGAGCATCGCCTCCAACACTTCCCCGACTCTTTTTAAATTTTTTTTAGGATTTTTTTTAAATAAAAAAGGAAACTATTATCACAAATATTGAAACATGAATCCAAATATCACTAAGCAGAGATCACCAGGCAGAAGCAGAAAGGGGGATTCAGAAATATGATCACTGTGAGCAGGAAGAGCGGGGATGGCTCTGAGCCCCGGCTCCCGCAAGCCCATTCTGCTGCACCCCTGATCACGCTAGTTGGGAGCAAGGCTGCTCTCAGGCCTGCAGTGAAGAGCTCTCCATGAGCACCCATCTGCCTATTAAGAGAGAGTGGAGAAGACAGAGCTCCCTCTCAGGCCCAGGCAGGGAGCTTCTTGAGAGAGAGTGCTCAGGCCCACGGAGGCCAGGATCCACGCACCACTCCTCATTCACATGTGGGGGGCTGTACTCACCGCTCAGGGGGGATGTGCTGTTTTCTAGGGCCTGGCACACAGCCAACAGGATACCTGTGGGGGGAAGCAGAGAAAAAAGATAAGCGTTTACTTGGCAAACGGCATCCTCAGAGGACTGGAAGGCGAGCTCCCTGAAAGGCAAAGACTTGGTAGTTTTACAAAGCGGCCAAAAGACAGGCCTGGTTACCTCACTCGTGGGGTTCAAAGCAAAACAAAAACATGGGACTCTGGGACTCCTTGTTTGCAGGGGAAAAAATGCTTATGGAAGGCACTAAAATATCAGTGTTTTCCTTCCAGCCAGTCTCTGTCTCCATCTGTCATGGTGTTTTAAAATCTGTTCTTATAGTGGGAAAACATGTATAACACATTTACCATTTTAACCACTTTTCAGTGTATGCTATAGCGACATTAAGTTCATTCACATTTTGGTGCCCATCAAGATGATTTTGCTTGCTGATTATGTCACTGCTGTCCTTACAGGAGAGCAGGGTGAGTGCAGCCCTTCATGGGCACACAGGACCCAGTACAAAGTGAGCAGGGGACCCACTAGTCACTGGGCTTTTCACTCTGACAGCAATGGTCTGCTATGCTGAGACCCAGCTGGGAGGGTGGGGAAGTCCGCTTCGGTGTCTCTTCTTTCCAGAGACTGGCTGTCGAGGGTGGGTGGACGGTGACCTGCAGAAGGACTGTACTTTGCATTCCAGGATGCAGGAGGTACTAGATCAGAGGGAGCATGGTGGCCTGTTCCCCTCCCACTGTCCACTGACATGCTGCGGAGTTGCCTGCCTAGGACGGTGACAGCTGTTGCTATGTATTAACCTGAGATGCCACAGGGTAATGGACCTAATCCCAACATTTTTAGTGTCCAGGCTTTACCAGAGGCAGAGTGTGGCAGGGACAATGACCACCAGGGGAGGCAGGAGACTTGGAGGCAGCGCCCTGGGAACCCCAGCTGAAAGCCTCTAGTACACATTCTATCGTCTCATTGGACTTACAGGACACGGATCCTAAGGTAAAACTATAAGAATTTCAAGACTGCAACCACAGAACATTAAATCTCAAGTTCAGGGCTATTATAAGTATGACCTCGGGGCCTCTGTGTGACCCTCAAAACCACTCTGGCCAACAGATGACCTTATGTGCCCTCATGGTATAGTACCAGAGGTTTTTGGAAACAGAGCAGCAAAATTCCAATGAAGAAGGAAACTTTCCTGAATTTTACAATCAGCAGAAATTAACTTCTCAAAACTGAAATGCAGGGAAGTGGCCCAGCAGCCATGCAGAGGAGCTGGGCCTCAGGCACGGTACTCCCAAAGGCAGATGCTGCAATTCAGCACAAAAAACAGAAGTCCTGCCTGCTGCTTCTCCTTGTGTGGGCCCCATGCATCCCCTGCCGGGTGGGCTACAGGACTGCTGGGGTGGGAACACAAGGCTGTGAATTCTCAGAGGCAAACATATTTAGAACAGATACAACAACCACACGGTGCTTCTTTCTGGCCTTTGACATGGTAAACATCATTAGAACTTCTGACTCCCTCTTACTGGGACTCCGAATACTCCTACAGAGTTCTGCACAAGACATCTGAGCTGCAGATGGGGTCAGGACGAGGCGACTGGGAGATGTATGTAAAAGCCCATGTATCCTCTCTGGGCCGTCTGTGGCCCCACAGATGCTAATTTTGGAAGCGAGCCTCTTAAGATGGCACAGGCACATTTCAAAGGGTGAGCGTAATGTACACACCAAGTGTTCAAGTGAGACATTCCTGCTGTGGCCAGGAAAAGTTTCAGGGGTCACGCAGTTGAAGCTGGGAGTAGTCATGTTCTGACTTTGGTGGCAAACTACTCTGGGCTCACGTCAGCCAGAGACCTGCAATCATGTCAATGGATGATACGGGAGATGCTTTACATACCTCTGAGGGGGAGCGTGACTGGCCTGTTACGCACTGTACCTGAACTAATGAACAGTCTTCACGTCTCCTTCCCGCCCCACATCCCATCAGTCCAGGTAAACACAGCACAATTCCTGGGTCCCACGGCAGCCTGTGGAGCACAGACAGCACTAGGAAGATGAGGCATGTGCTGAGAACCTTCCCCCAGCTGCGGGCAGGTTGCTTTGTCCCTTCTGTTCCTCACCTGTGAGCCACGAGCTGCCAAGCTCACAAAGATGTTTCAGGAATTAGTTCGCAAAACCATTGTGTTCCACAGATCAAAGATGCTGCATTTTTAAAAATATATATACTTTGGGTAGCACAAAAGAATAATCCCTTCCCATATCCTCACATTCCCATGGAAAACAGTGCCCTGGCCTCACTCTACAATCCTGATTCGTGAACAACTTCAGCTGAGGGGGGCCCTGTGATGGGAGGCGAGGCCTTTGCTTCCTTTTTCCCTGTAGGGGCCAGGGACCAGGGAGATGGGGCTGGGAAGGGGTGGGCGGTCCTCTCTGTTCTCAGGTGGGGGGGTACATATAGGTTCAGGCCCAGCACTAGGGTCCTGTATATGCTATCTTACTTTGTCCTCATAGCAACAGAGGCTCTGAGGACACTCCCTGCCTTTCTGGTCCAGCAGGTGGGAATACTCAGTTATGCAAATGAAGAAACTGAGATTTAGAGAAGCTAAGAAATTTGTCCATTCTTCTGCAAGTAAGGTCAGACTCAAGCCTGTATACATGCTGTGCCTAAAAGAGTATCTCAGTGTTTACACCATTGCCCCTCAGGAAGCAGTGGCAGTTAGGATCTCCCAAAAGAACTCCAATAATGGACTCGGCAGACCCAGTGGTTGAGGTTGAGCCCTTCTTCCACAGGCCACAACCATTACCTTTTGGAATTTTCCCACTGCCTCCAGTGTCCCCTATGAGCAAGGACTCCTGCGGGGCTGGGCATTAAGCCGCAAGGTGCCCTGGTCTCTGCCATGGCCATGGTTGGAAAGCTGGCCTGTGTAGAACCCTCCAGGAACAACCCTGCACTGGCAGGCTTTGAAGCTCCAGAGAAACAAAGGAAAGAATGCAAGAGCCCAGCCCTAGCCAGCTGCCAAATGCAGTGGCTCAGGCACAGGCATGGCGGCTGGAGCTCCTCTCATGTGAGTTTCAAAAGCTGTTCTTCATGGGTTGTGGAGGTAGGAAGGCAGGCTCAAGGGCCTCCTGGCCCAAGAGTCACCCTCTGGGACAGGAATCCCTTTTAGGCTGTTTTTGCCAACATCCCATTTTGTCAAATAATTCCAAAATGGGAAATCCCAAGACTGTGGACTTCAAAGGGAAAAAGAAAAGAAGGGGTAGTGTTATGGGGAAAACCACACGTAACAGAAGAGAAATCCTATGAAACCGGATGCCGACCCCCAAAACAGACAGAATTCAGGCCTGCCTTTAAGGCAGACAAGGGTTGCCGTACTTTAATTTAACTGCTTGGCGCTCAGACAAAGGATTCCAACAGAAATAAAAGAGGGGAGCTGTGGAATAGCGCTTGAGAGGCTATCCATATGTGGCATCCCCAGCAGAAAGCTGTGCTTTCTCTCCTGGGAAGAGGTATCTGTTCACTGTTCCCAGCAATGCAGTACACTCCAGAGGACCTCAGAGGAAGCTGCACAGGAATTTGTGGAAGAGCTGGCCAACCAGGCTCAGGGGAATTCAGGATGATAAAAAAAAAAGTTTAGAAATATGTTACATGGGAATGAACCATCTTGGGCAGATGAGTCACTAGGACAGAGAGCTCTCTGTCACCATCTCAACCTCACAGATTGGTCCTTGCAATCCAAGAAGAGAGTCTAATGGAGAAGTTACATCAAAGGGCTAGCACGGTGTCTCAAGTGGCAGGCACTGACGCACAGAGTGAAGTCACCAACGATGCAAGGTGGGAACCACTGGTAGTTACAAAGCCCCCAATCTGGATGCCTACACTCAAGCACAGTCATTTACAAACTGGCACTCAAGCTAACCAGAAGGGATTTTTATGCCTGGGGTAGGATGGACTGGAGGGAATCTCCCAGGTTCCTAAGTCATATGCATGAATTATGGGATTATTATTGAGACTGATGTCATGATTAACAATTGTAGCTGCAACAATTGTGTGAGTGCTTACTATGTGCTCTGGATCATCTCACTCAACACTCAGAGTGCAAAGTAGGTACTACAGATTGAGTGTCCTTTATCTAAAATGTCCAGGAACAGAAGTGTCTGACATCTCTTTGCATTGTGGAATATTTGCATATACATGGTGAGGTATCTTGGGGAGGGGACTCACATCTAAAATGAAATGCATTTATGTTTACACATGCAGGTGGAAAGTAGTGTTACACTGTTTTAGTGTGCCAGCATTTTGACTACCCTGCTATTTGAGGCCTGGTGTACAATTCTCCACTTGTGGCATCAAGAAGTCTCAGATTTCGGAGCATATTCAAGTTCAGAATTTTTAATTAGGCATGTTTTAATCTGTATCATGCTTCTACTTTCAAGGAAAAAAAATGGAGGTACAGGGTATTAAGTAACTTACCCAGGGTCACATAGTTTATACAGGACAGACACTAGCTCATATCACAGGACCATTTTGCTTTGGTGCGCTCCCGTGAAGTACAGCCAAAGAACACTGTGCCAGAAAGACCACCTCTCCCTTTCTCATTTAGATGGAGCCAGACGCACACAGCAGTGTGGGAAATACAGGCAGCTGGGGGAGCCCAGAAGCCAGAGTCATCTGTAAGTGGTGTTATCCTTAGCGACTAAGGTCACCTCTCTCAATCTCAGGTCCCTTATTTTTCAATAGTAGAGTTGGGCCAGAAGGTCCACCAAGGCCCTAAGTTCCAGGTATCAACACTTTATATAGATGGATCCCCTGCCTTCAATCGGGAATCAGACAGAATGACGGCTGCCATGCGTACTGTCTCCATGAGAGTGTGCTAGGTTTATGGTAACTTTGTCTTCCAATGTAGCATGACATTCATATCAGTTCTCAGAAGATGAATGAGGTCCTTAACTAGGGTACTTTCCATTTCTGAAATTTCAGTGCGGTCATAATGTTGCCATACTAATATATCCTAAAGGTCAACGAACTTGGGTCTCTTGGTTG